GGATTTACTGGATTTACATTCAGCGATATGGTTGGATCTTAAAAAATATATCTAGTGAGAAAAGTGAAAAACAAAATATCTATATCATTTTTAAACAGAATTTTTGTAAATTCAAAACATTTATTCTTAAAAGAACAATACATTTTTCAAGACCATTCAATCATGTATTCAGTAAGTTTTTTTAATTATTATGTGAGGCATCGCTCTTGACACACAATACAGCAGCAAAGAAAACAAAATTCTGATTTTTAGGGAACTTACATTCTACTAGAAGAAGACAGATAATAATGAAAAATAAATGAGGAGCGCAACATGGAGATGGTTGATGAAGGGATTTGCTGTTTATAAAGGACAGCCATGGAAGTCCTCTCTGATAAGGTGACCTTTGAGCTGAGGCCTGCTTTAGGAGGAAGAGCAAGACTTTAGATCTGTGGAAGAAGAGAATTCTAGGCAAGAGAATAGCAGGTGCAAAGGTCCTGAGGTGGGAGTGTGTTTGCGATGTTTTGGAAACATTAGGGAAGCCTGTGTGTGGTGCTGAGGTTGGAAGAGAACCAAGAGAGGGAGGGTCCTCGAGGCCAAGGAAGGAGGTGTTCCCAGCAGGAAGGAGTGATAGGCTGTGCCCAGTTCTGCTGTAGTTAGACAAGACGAGCGTGGAGGTTGGAATAAATCTGGTGGGGATACTTCAGTTCAGCGATGGGGTTGGAAACCTCGCTGGAGAGGGCTCTAGAAGGACCAGGAGAAGCGGATAGAGCAGGTAGAGGCAGCACTTCTTTTTTTATGGATGGAATATCTGTGGACCTTATTTCCACTCACCACCCCTTCCCCCTTGATTCAAACAGTGATATAAAATAGCAACAAACAAAAAAATTAGGCCATGAGATTAGCAACTCTCCCCCCACCCACAATCACTTCCAAACCAAGACATACAGTTGCTGTTTAATTGATGTTCATCTTCTATTCTTTCTGCTTCCCCCTCTGTCCAGGGACCTGGTCCTCCCTGAAACCCCCACCAACAGATGGCAGAGGGAGGCAGACCTTAGATTAGCCCGTATATGGTAGCTTGGTCCTCTCAGAACAGGTGAGTGGCCATCACCTCTCGCTTCCAGCCTTCTTCGTGGCCCACTCAGACCCCAAATTCAACAGCCTGATCTCCCTGGCCTCTCATTCTCACCTCAGCAGCCCCTGTAAGATGGCCCAAACCCCATGGCCCTCATGCCAAAGCCACCACTTCCCTAGGTTACAACTCCTTTGCAGGTGTTCCTGGTAAGGGCCCCTAACCTCCAGAACCCTTGACCTGGAGGGGTTGGTGGCTAGAGGTTTGGCACAGCATAGGGACGGTTAACCCCAGTTCTCACTCAAGGTGGTCAATCAGCATCATCAGGACAATCCGTGCCAGCAGCCCCTGCACCTCCAGAAGTGAGAAGTGACTGCGATGGTGATGCCTCCCTCAGTAACGCAGGCAACGCAGACACCAGACATCACGGCTCCATAGAGAAAGCCGCAGGCAGTGAATAGCAGAACCAGCCTGGAGGGGCACCACCTACTCCTGACTGCCTGCTGCCCCTCCTTGAGTTATGAGGGCACAGGCGGGATGAAGACGGCAAAGTCCCCCACTTCATGGGGCTCATGTTGCAGGACAGTCACTGCGGTCAGGAGTGCCAACCCCTGATCCCCTTGACACGAAGCACCAGGGCCAGACCATCTGTGAGGTTGTGTGCCGGGTCAGCAGCCAGGTTCAGGTCCCCTCAGACATGCAGCTTTGAACGGCTTCTTCCTCTCCGGGATTCTGCTGTCTCCTGCCCACCTCCAGGCCCCGTGCTCCCTCCGCTGCTCTCCCAATGCATCCTCACCCATCACCCGCTTCCTTCTCTCTCTTCTCTGACCTCTGCTTCTCCTTTGAAGGCTGCTGCTGTTTTCCGTGTCCGTGACTTCCACGTGGGACCACGAAGTGTCCACGTCCTCCTGTGATGTGTCTCATGAATTTCTCCGCCACCAAGGAGGACATGGTTCCATTAAGCACCCATGGCCCCCCATGGAGCTCCAGAGGGTGGTGGCAACGAGGTTTCAGGGCAGGAGGGTTGAGGTGCAGGAAGGCATCTACAAGGAGCCCACCCAAGGCAAACCCAAGAGGGATCTGGGGCAGAGAGCAGCGCCGGGGAACTTGGGAGCCCTGTGTGTAAGGAAGAGGATGAAAAATGGAGCCGTGCAGATAGTACTGTGGCCCCAGGGCACAGGCCCAGGGAGCGACTGTGTCCAGGTCCTGCTTAATGCCCGCAGCCCCAGACCCCCATCATCTCCATGGCTGTGCTCGTGGTTGTGGTCGTGTCCTCTGTGGTGGAGGCTGTCGCGGCAGTGGCCAGCATGGCAATCCTCATGTGGATGAGGAGCGTGGCCATGGGCCTTGGTGGAAAGCTGCTCCTGAGTGCCTGTGGCTGTGGCCGTGGAAGGCCCTGTGCAGGTCACCGTGACCCCTGTGTCTGGCCAGCAGCCCCAGTGCTGTCCGGGCCAGTGATCCCATGGCCACTGAAAGGGGCCCCAGGCTTCTGGCCACAGAGCTGAGCAGAGGACAGAGAGAGTGACTCTCCCTGGCTTTCAGCTCTCTGCTGGGGGCAGGGGTTGTCTGCGTTACTCCACTCGTGCCCTGTCATGTCTAGGGGCCACTCCTCGGTCCCATGCTGTCCCCACCTACATTGCTCACAAGGCTTTCCCTGAAAGGCACTTTTGAAGAATTTTTCCATCAAGGAAAGCAGAGAGGTGGCACAGGGGCTCAAGAGGTCTGTGTGGTCAACGAAAAGGTTTGTTTTTGATATGAGATGAATTAAATAAATTAAACGGAGTGTCTGGTGGAGAAGAAAAGTAGGATGGGGATTGAGGGTGAAGTGGAAAACATAAAATAAGAGGGGTCTCTGTATGGTCCAAGATGACAGGGTGGCATGTGAAGAGAATGGTGGAACTCTCCCTGCTGGGGGCCCCGCAGGATGGAGAAGCAAACAAACGGAGCAGAACAAAACAAACATTAATTCTCTTCTCTCCTGTTCTTTATGAGGAGCAAAGGCCCCATTCAGATCTTCCTTTCAAGGTTATGAACATTCAGATGTCAACTTTTAAAGAATCTCTTTGGCTCCCATGTGCCTGTCAAGGCAAGAACTGGAAAGCTGGAAAAAATGAATAAATTGGTGGTTTTGTTTCTATGAGATCAACTGAGGCACTGTAGCCCCGCTTAAGAGCATTAGGAGGTCCAGGTAAAAATCATGCAAGAGATTGAATTTGAGCTGGGAAGGGCCCCTTTCTGCTAATAGAGGGCTGTAAGCAGAAAGAGGGTTTCACATCCCGGAGACCTGAAGGTCAGTCTTCTTTCTACCTGCTTCTTCCCGACTGTCAGAGTCTAGGACAGTAGTATCTGCTGAACCACAGTAGTGTGCTTTTTTGCCAGGAAATTTTCTGCGCAGGGAAGGGATGCCCTGGGACAAAGGGCTACAGAGCTGACACAATACCCCTGCTGTGCGCTCCCATCCAGTGGGCCTGAGACGATTCCTGGAGACATTTTTGTTGGGTTACTGCACACCCACAAATAGCTACTTAAAGAAAGGAAAAGAACAAAACTTCACAATTGGAGGGCTATTTAGAAAAGGCATTTAAAAAGGAGCACATACACAGATGTGCCTATTACTTCTTGCAATAGACTCTAAATTGTTCTCCCAGCCTCCAGCCTCTCCCACTCCAAACCATTCTGCACACTGAAGCAGGATTAACCTCCTTAAAGCACAGATCTGATCTTGTCACTTCAATGCTCAAGCACCTTCAGTGGCTCCCCATTGCCTTTAAAATAGCCAAGCATTGAAGATCCTTCGTACTGGAGTCTCTCTTTTCTTCCCCACCCATCTCCCACTGCTTGATTGGACATCTGCTAAGCTGCTCTCTCCAGTAGGGCTCTGTCTCTCCTCCCATTCTTCCTCTGGCTCAATCTTCTACTCTTGGTTTAGGTATTATTTCTCCTGGGCAGTGTTCTTCCCTACCCTCCAACCTGCGGGCTGAGCTGGGTGCCCCAGCAAGAGGCTTATCAAACACCCTGAATTCCCTATAAAAAATTATTGTTTTATATTGTAGTTGTCTTTCCTGCTACACCATACGTTCTGTGAGGTCAGAGACATACGCTTCTTGCTCACCATTTTATCTCCAGTGCCTGGCATGCACTTACTAATATAAGAAAGAACAAGTGAACTGAATAGTATTCCTTGACTCCAAAGTTTCACCCTTGCTCTCCTTTCCGCATGTGACCTGTCTTTGTCACAATTCCTGTCTACATAAAATGTATACCCAAACCGCGCATATTCTGTCACTTGATTCATGAGCAAGTTGATGCTACAGTAAAGCAGGGAAAGGATGGTCTTCTCAGTAAATGGGGCCGGGCCAACTGGATATCTATATGGAAAAAAATGCATCTTGACCCCCTACCTCACACACATACCAAAATCAGTTTTGGATGGATTTTATATTTAAATATATAAATATAAAAAAGTATATATATATAATATAAATATAAAAATTTTAATGGGATCCCGTTTGTGATATTTAATTAAGTTCACAAGTTTTCTAACTCACCAAAAGGTCTGGTGATGGCAGCCCCCGTTTACCTGCATCTTTCAGAAGCGAGAAAGCAATGTTTCAAACAGCTCCGGCTTTCCCCCAGGACCCTGTTTACGTTGTCAAAGAAAGGAAGTTTATAGAAAAGGTTATTTGTTATCTCTAAACTTAATTGAAATCAACTCAACAAATGTTTGATTTAAACCTTTTTATTTTTAGACATTTTTCTTTTAGTGTTTAATATCTTTTATTGATTCAGTGGCCAAGGCAGCATCTGCTCGGTTAGGAAAGGCACCTGTCAGAAACAGAATACACAATGGTGCTGTAAGGTCTCTGTCACAGGAGGCCGGCTGCAGACTCCTTGAGCAGCCACCATGACGTAATGTGGTTAGTAGCACTTCAGCTTGCACATAAGAGCCCTTAAAGGATGTTTATTGAGTTATCATCATTAGTTAAAAACACAACACTTAAACCCCTTTCTCTGCCTCCCTTATACCTCTCTACCTACCCACCCTTTCTCCATTCCTGAGCTTTCTTTTAGAAAAAGAGCATATACCAGAGGATAATTTCTCTAGTGATTCCAAGAAGATTCCACCAGGGGTAGAAGAATTTGGTTTTGGGCTGGAACATGCCAAACATTTTTTTTTTTTCTTTAAAGCAGAGTAGGTTTGGGGAACATATCTATTTGGGGACTGAGTCTTTAAAGAAATGGCTTTGCCCAGGTTTGATGCCACCCACCCCTTGCTCTTTGGGGATAAGTGTAGGAGGGAATGAAGCAGGAATTCTTAGAGCTTAGACAGGTTTAGAAAGGCTTCTTTGGCTACAATCATGGAAGCCCAGAGGTGGCCACCCAAGTGGCTTTGCTCCCACTTTTGGTTTAGAAGCTAGACCTCTTACCTCCACTCAGACACATAGACAAGCCTTGTTCACCCACAAAAAAACAAAAACAAAAACATGTTCTTTGAGCCAGGGTGTTAGGGAAGAGTGTGAAGAAACAAAAAGATGGACTCTGGAGTGAGTCAAAGGGATCTGGGTTTGAGTCTTACCTTTGCAAATTACTAGCTGTAGGACATTGGGCAGGTACTTTGTCTTTCTGAGTTTGTAATTTCTATCTGCAAATGGGAAAAATAGGACCTCCCAGGGTTATTGGGAAAAATAAATCCTAGGAGGTAATTTATCTGTGAAAGCACTTTGCAATGTTCCTGGTACTTGGTGGATATTTAAACACAGTAGGGAGAAAAGATATCTGGGGAGAAAGGATTTGCCAGTATTTCTCCAGACAAATTCAAGTGAGCATTTTTATGGTGGGATGAAATGATCTGGGTGACCTCGGGCCAGTCTTATCTCCCTGATCCTCAATTTACCCCCTACAAAGGGATTTCTGACCCCAGGAGGGGGAGACTTCTAGAATTTGAGGTAAATGTCAGAGGATGTTTCTTTCTATAACAGAATAAAGATTTATTACCTGTTTCCAAGATGCCTTCAATTTTAAGATGCACAATTAATTGATTATAAGACATCTTTTTGAGAGAGAGAGGAAAAAAATACAACTATGGTAATGGACCTATTGATTTTAAGACATATTCTGATTTCATATGCATTAAAATATGAACAAATGTATATCCTGCAGTTGAAGAAATAGCATAATAATAATGCTGGCTCCCATTTACCAAGTATTTGCTGCTTGTAAGGCACTATCTGAGCTGCCTTAGTACATCCTCAACTTGTTATAGTAACTCAGTGAGGCAGATGTTACCATTTCCACATCAGGGTTAGGAAACCTGATGTGGAGAGGTTATGTCACTTTCCAAGGCCACACGACCAGGAAGTAGTGCGTGGAAGGCAGGTCTTATTTCCAAAATGTTTTCCCTTCTCAATAGATTGTTCTCCAGGTTAAGGAATCAAAGAGATCAGTCCTGTACAGAGATGCTTTGTGAATGTGGTACTTTGAATATGTCCAGAATCTCTGCAAAGTGATCAGCAAGGGCACAGGTAATACAAATTGAGTCGTAACCTGATCCATTTCAAATACTGGTCCTCGGAGGTAAAGTGCTACCTGGAGAGTGAGGATTGCTCAGAATGCACGCAGAGCGGAGCCAAGAAGTGAGACTGAGTCAGGGTAGATCCAGCCCCGGAGCAGGAGGAAGTGGCCCTGACTGGCCACCAGGCCCGTCCCAGGCTCATGGACACTGCAACAAGCTTTTGCCCTTCAGGCCACTATTCTTCAAGGTCAACCCATTCCTTTTACTCTGATTCTTCACTAATAAAGTAGAAACCTTTTGAGAAGAATTCAATTTTTCCCATAACTTTTCTTAAAGAGGGAAAAATGTGCTGACCAGTCATTATGAGCTAGTGAGGGCTCATCTACTACTGGAACAAGTTACAAATGAACGAGCTATAAAGTTGGTTTTCTGCTCAGTTTGTCCAAGTTAGTTCCCTTGAGCCTGATTGTGGAATCAAATATTTTGTTCTCAAATGCTGTGGATATGGCTCTTACTCTGGCATGACCCCAGAAGCAGACTCTATTGTAACATTCTTAGAAACATGTCTGACTGCTGACTGCTGACTAGAAGATTCCTGGGTTACCTGTCCGTCCGTCTGTCTGTCTAGCTATCATGTTTGTGAGGAGAGAGCCAACCCCACATCAGCGGGTTCCCAACTTGGGTCTACCTCAGATGACCAAAAAATGTTCCACAGCGTTTTGGAAGGTTGGCAGCAGGGAGATGGGCATTGCTGGAGTGGAGCAGGGCATGACGGGGCTGGGGGTTGCCTGAAGCACCAGATTGCATAAGAGATGCCCCTGTGGACCTGACCAGAAAGGACTCAAAGTAAAGCTGCCAGAGGACAAATGTGCTTCGTGGTCTTGGCTGGAGAAGGCTCTTTGGACAGTGGCCATCACAGCACCAGGGTGGGGGTCACCGAGTCTCCACGTGGATGTCAACAGGGCTGAAGGTCACCGTGGCTGGATGTTGGCTGGTGGTGCTGTTCGGGCCCAGGGCAGAAGGGGAGGCTGGCTTGGGGCCCTTGGGCTCCAGCTCCCGCCTTGTCCTCATTTTCCTGTAATGAGATATGCATGCACGGCTGAGTCTTCTGCCTCGTATCCCTTGGGGAATGGGCCCTCTGATTGTGTGTCCTGCTAGGAGATTAATGTAGATCAAAGTTAAATTACGCTGTTTAATTGTCAATCGTGGAAGGTTACAGCTGGAAAGTTCCTTAGATATCAGCTAGTCTGACCCTTCAGTTTTTGTTTAACCTGGATTAGATATTTAATTTTCTTTTTTTTCCTATTAATGAATGAGTCAAATGTCAGATAGGTAAGTATATTAAAAACAGATGTTACATTTCTTCTGTTTAAAGTTGTAGTGTGAGTTACATTCTGCAGCCTCAGCTTGCTGTTTGATGCCAGAAATATTTAAGAACTTTCTACATAGCTGAGAAGAGAATATACTTAAAACGTGTATCTTATCTTGCATTTCATATACTGTAATATTCAATAACTAACAACAATCATTAATTCTAATGTTGATAAGAAATTTAGTCTTGTCGACCTATCACCATTTATAAAAATTTCAAGTCCTCAAAAATGTTGTGTGAATAGTACAATTAATACCCATGTATCCTTCACAGAACGATTCACTGATTGATAACAATTTGCCTCATTTGCTTTCTTTCTCTTTCTCTCTCCCCATTTACACAGAGTTTTTTAGAAACTGTGAACCATCTGTAGGCTGCAGACATCCTGCCACTTCACCCCTAAGCACTCCTGAAAGCAAGGGCATTCATTCTCCATGTAACCCCGGCACATTATCACACTTTGAGACCTTTCCATTTTAAGGATGACAAGACCAAGGCAGAGAGAGAGAGAGATTAAATGACTTGCCTGCTTTTTGACAGACCAAAAACTAAACTCAGGTCTCTCAATCCCCAGCTGAAGGATCATTGTCAACAGTGGAGCCTCCATTCAAATTACCACCTGGAAAAGGGGTTCAGAGCTCCAGCAATGACAGAGAGGAATGGAGGGTAAACATTGGGATTTGATGCTGCTTCCTGGTTTGGGATAGACCCAAACTGTACTATTCCAAAGATTTTTTTAAAATTAAATGTTTAAAAGTTTAAAATTAAATGCTATTATTATTATGACTGTTACATGGAGTGGTGGAATATTTTCTTTGAAACAAGATGGACTGGGTTTGAATCCCAGCGCTGGCAATGAGGGCTGAGTAACCTTGTCCACTCTCCTTAATCTCCTTGTGCCCGTTTCACACCTATAAGATTGGGAATTCAGAAGTACCCACCTGGGGGGGTTGAGGATTAAATTACTGTGTGTAACCCATGTGTATGATCACAATGTACATATTATTTTGTGACCTTTGACAATATATTATCATCAGTTTTCCTCATCAATAAACACATTTCTATGGTATCTTTTTTTGTTAATGGCTTCCAAGTCTTCTATGATTTGGTTTTATTTATAGTCTTCTATTTTGATTTCTTCCCATAACAGAAGAGCCTTCTAGCAAAGGCATGACTTACTGGTGCTAACGCATAAGCTGTGTTTATTTTTTATAACATTTATTCTTTACGTGATCCAATTATATTATTTTATTTCCTCTTATTTGGTCCCAGAAAGCACAGTTGGGGTTATGTGCACCCCAGTATTTGTCACGCAAATAGTTATGTGCTCTGCTCAATACAACCTAGCAGAGGGCTCACCAAGAGAAAAGGATCAAATGCTGAATCAGAAGGTTTTGTTTAATCAATTACAAGAGGGTGAGCGGGGGTTTGATGTTTTGGTTTTTACTCATGCTCAGGTGTAAGGAGTCAGACCCGTGGCTACTGTGTTGCTTGACAGGAGATACTTTTAAATGGCATGGAAAGCTCTGGGTAAAAAATTTCTGCATTGCGCAGAAACTCTGGGCAGCACTTTTAATCATATACATTTCTGCTGAATTCTTCTAATTAGATTTCTTCTGAGAGCTGCCTCCCCACCAAAAAAGAGAAAGGATCAAAACATTCCTTTTGTGTTTACTGCAGTGCTCAAGGCCCTTATTGTTGTCATTATCTTTATTTTTTATATTTAAAGTATATTTCTCCAAGTACAAAAATATTTAGTCACTGTGAAATTCCTACAGCAGAAGAGATGATCAAAAAGGGTTAGAACGTTTGATGATGGACTTGGGATACTGCTGGGCATGTGACAGACACCCACAAATGTTAGTTCCCATTCGTTCTGACATCACTGAAGGGACCAGGCCATCCAAAGCCCAGGGTATCCCGTACCTGTTGTACATCTTCAGCAGGATCAGAACCACAGTGAAGATGAGGATGACAACCACCACAATGGCAGCAACGATGGCTCCAGAACCTAGAGTAGGAGGGGGCGGAGATGGCCACTGTGCACACTGAAATGCAGAAAAGCATTCAGACTGGGAGGGGACCCCTATGGTGGCCCCTTACATCCTCACTAGGTCAACAGGAAGAGAGAATGCAATGACCTGGGACATTCACTTCCAACCCCAGGACAGAGACACATCCAGACTGGCAGGGCACCTCTCCCACAAAGGGGCCTGCGGGAGGCCATGTCCTGAGCACACCACCTGCCAAAATTCTGTCTTAGGTCTTGTTCTTATTAGCCCTTACTCAGCTTCAAACTTCTTTTGTGAAGCAGGCAAGCAAAACACGGTTCTTTTTTAAAAAAATAATACCAAAGTAATGTGGTTTTTGTAGTTAATTTTGAAAATATAAATACAAGCAAAAAAAAATGGAGGGGAAGCTAAAGACCTCATTGCTCCAGGAAGCACTGATTATCTACACATATATACCTTAACCAAAGTGGTCATGTGTGTGCATATATTCATATTAAATGTTTATCGATCTTTTTCTGAATAATTTATTAATCCTGTAACTGAAAATCCATCTTAAGGAAATAGTCATAAATATGAAAAAATAGGCACTTGATAAAAGTGTAATCATGTTCCATATGCTATGCTGTTGTATAACAATATCCTATTCATCTTTCTATGTAATTACAGTTTCTTCATTATTTTTCATGGCTGCATAGTACTCCATTGTTTTGATGTGCCATGTTTGTTCAACTCCCTATTGAGGATATTTATGATGTTTTACATTTTACACTATCCAACTGGAATCCCATCATACAAACACACTGGTGTTAACACCTATCAAAAATAAGACTATGTCTTTGTAGCTTAATATCACAGATCAAAGATTAATATCAGCTCCCAGTCCCAATGTCCCAGTCTAATTTTAGATTCAAGGTCAACATCCTTGTCAGAATTGATGTTTAAAATATTAAAAACCATAAATGTTCACACTTTATAAACTAGTCTATTTGTTTCTGAGGAATTTATCTTACGGAATAATCTTAAATACAGAAAAAATCTTATGAATGAACGTATTTACTATAACCACTATTCATTCTAAATATGGGAATGGTTCAATAAGGTATAGTGCACGAAATATCATAATTGATGTGTAAAAAATAGAATATACGTGCACTCACATATCATACATACACTGTGTTGCAGCCATTAAAATATGTGCATATATCTTGCTGCACTGATGGACAGTGACTGCATTGGGGTATGGGTGAGGACTTGATAATATGGGTAAATGTAGTAACCACATTGTTTTTTCATGTGAAACCTTCGTAAGAGTGTATAAAATTTTTTTTAATGTGCATATAAATATAATGTTGAGTAAAAGAAGCTGGATGCAAAAGACTATAAATGGTATGATTCTATTTATATCAAGTGTAAAGCCAGATGGAATTAATCTCTGGTAGTAGAAGTCAGAAGAGCGGCTTCCCTTGGGTGTGTGAGGGACAGTGATGGCAAGGGGCACAGGGACTTCTGGGATACCGGTGGTGGTCTGTTTCTTGATCTGGGGCTGGTCACACAGGTGTATTTACTTTTTGAAAATTCATCCAGCCGTACACCTATGTACTTTTCTGAATGAATGGAATGCTTTCATAAAAGGTTTACTTAAAAAAAAAAAAGAACTATGTGCAAATATTCATAGGAAGAAGGACTGGAAGAAAAAAAAGGAGGAGGAAATTCATCCTGGAGCAACTTGTTCTTCTTTCTTCCTGAGAGTCCCCTGATGACACTTTAGTTCAGGGTTTTTCAGCCTCGTCTGGACAATTCTTCATTGGGGGAAGCTGCCCTGGGCATCCCTGGCCCCCACTCACCAGATGCCAGGACCGCTGCTCATCCTCCCCACCTTGTGACAACCAAAAATGTTTCCAGAGATTGCCAAGTGTCCCCTGGTGGCAGGGCCACCAGATAAAATGCAGGATACCCATTTCAATTAGAATTTCTGACAACAGTGAATATATTTTTTTAGTATATCTCAAATACTTCATGGCACATCCTTACATGAAAAAATCATTCATTGTTTATCTTGAATTCAAATATCTTGAATTCAGCTGGATGTCCTGTATTTTTATTTGCTCAATCTGGTAGTCCTGTCTACGGGGCAAAATCACCTAGCTGAGAACCATTACTGTTAGCCAAATAAAAACAGTTATTATTCCCATCTTGCTGACCATGATTCCATTTCGCCTGTATTTCCCCTCAGAGCTGTTTGGAGTCATACCTCATCAGGCCTCTGCAGGTCTCCCCACCCAGCAAGGAGCAGGCTCACACATGGGACCCTCTCCCAAGAGCCACCATTTCTGGGTCTCCACGGAAGAGACACACCTGCCATTAATCCAGCTTCCTGCCAGCACCACAGCCTGGAGCCGTTTATCACCGGGCAATGCTCCGCATGTGTCAGGAGGCCTGGTCCATTTGCAGCAGTATGTACCGAGTATGCTGAAATAACCTAAATGGACAGACTGCCTCTGACACAATCAATTGGCTTTCTAAAGAGTGAAGCCTTTCTCAAATTTTTCCTTCTGGGGATCCCTTATTCCTGGCAAACATCTCCCCAGGACTAACTCTTCCCGCCTACAGTCATTAACTCCCTTGTAAATTGACGGGATGTTTTTGCCTTGCAAAAACAGTTTGAAAGCAGCTACATTTCAAGGTTTCAGGGACATCTACAAGAGATTCAAATTTCCATTGCCCTCTAGACTCGACCCCCTAATGAAACTAATCATAGCAGGTGTAATGATAACACTACCACTCATGAGGTACCTGGTGTGCACTGAGGCTAGTCTAAGCTCTTCACGTGGATCGTCTCTTTTAGCCCTCACAACGACCTCCTGTGGCAGCTCATGTACGTCCCCATCTCCTAGCTGAGGAAACAGGCGCAGAGCAGGGATGTCACATCCTCAGGGCCACACGGACGGCACATGGGGGAACTGGGGCTGAGACCCAGGTGGGCTGTCCCCAGAGCCCATGCTCCTGACCTCTCTACCAGGAGCTGACCATGTATGTGTCCCACCATCCCTCCCCTGGCCGCCAAGCCAAGCCGATCTTACTTTTGTACAGAAAGTCTTCTTCTCTGGTGGTCGCATTCAGTGAAAAGAAGGTGGTACCCCCCAACGGGGTGGCAGTGGTCATCTTGCTCCTGGGGAGAATGAAGGTGACATTTTGTTTAAAACCAGAGTAAGCTATATTATAACCCCTGTCTGATGCCTCCTTTGGTTTTCATCTGGATGACTGGAGAATATTTAATATTAAGAGAATACAGTTTCTCTTAGCAGCAAGTAACTATAAGGCCTTTTGCGAATGCCATGGGGAATTAAAAAATGATGTCTAACATTTGTAAAGAACTTTATTTTTCAAAGCAGTTTAAATTCATTCAACATTTATTAAACTCCTCCTGTGTTTCAAACAGACTATCTATTGATATATAATTGATCTCCTGGAAAGGAAAGGTTATTATTGCCATTTTATTGATGAAACTGAAGCTTCCAAAGCTGCATGGGGCCCCAAGTACCTAGAACCCAAGGTGTCCACCTCCCATGTTAGTGGGCTTCCTACCACCCCACAACAGTGCTGAAATGGTATTCCTGCTTTTAAAGGTTCACAATCTAAGGAGGCAAAAAAAAAAAAAAGCAGATGAAGAAATTAACTGATTATTAACTAGTCACTGACATGAGCCTCTGGGTTGTGAAGAATGATTTCAAGGCGGGGGATAAGTCTGAATAGGTCTTGAAGGATGGGCATGGTTGGGGAGGAGAGGAGAGACAACAAAGTTCGGGTTGCATAAACTCCCATGGGACGAGCCCATGCATTTTGAACATCTCTGCCACTCGCTGGGCTCTGCTGTGGGTGCCTTTGCACACTACATCCGTCCCTTTAATCCTCTCAATCATCACATTTTGCTGTTGAGCAAACTGAGGCTCAGGGTGGTTGAGTGACTCGAGCAATGTTACACAGCCTGGAAGATGTGGAGTTGGGATTCACGTGTATTCTCTGACTGTTCAGTATATCTTCTTTCCCTGACACACACAGGAATCAAAATTCACAATCCTATGATTTTATGCTTGAGGATGGAGCCAGAAGGTATGCAGTTAAAATGATGTCACACCACTAGAAACAAGTGTTAAGATCCTCCTGCAAGAATTATATTCTAAGCAAAAGGGTATTATAAACAATTGCTCTGAACTATGGGCATCAAGAAAAGAAGGGAAACAAACCAGGCTTTGCTTCTCTACTTTGGAGAGGCACTTTTCCTGTCACTGCTGGCAGTGTAGGGCCCAGGCAGCACCTCCACCAAGAGAAGAACCATCCAGGCCTATCTGTATCCCTAAGAAGCCATAAAGCCTCATATAAGAGATATTCTATACTTTTAAAAAGATATTTGTGCACAAATTTTTCTTTTTCATAGCAAGAAATCTTTTTAAATTATGAAGGCTATAAGAACCCATGTACCCACCACTCAGATTGAATAAATGGCTACAATCATATTTCCTTCAGTTCTTCTTTGTTCAAAAAAAGAAGTCAAGACTCCGCTGAAGTCCCTTTCTATCCTATTTCAATTCCATTTCCCCCCTCCTCCCACCACTACCTTGGATATTACTGCCTATTCTTTTCATCAAAGTTTTAAAACGTTTGCTATGTTTTATGGGTATGTATATACCCATAAATATTGTATATATATCCATAAACATTGTGGTCCTACCTATTTATTAAGCAAATATAAACTGAGCATCTACCAAGTAACTGGCTATGCTGGGTGCCAGGAACACACTAGGGAAATACAAGACAAAATCCTTCTTGCCTCCAGAAGCTCACATTCTAGTAAAAGAGAGAGAGACTCTGAGACTGTAGGCTTGATCACTGCATTCTTAGGTTCAAACATTCATCTCCCTGGTGCCCTGTATCTGGCAGTGAGAGCCCTTCACTGGCTGTTCCCACCCGCTATTTCCAGCCTCTCAGCATCTCACACCAACCTCCGCCATCTGTCCTGATGAAGGACCATCCCACCCTCCCCTGTCATTTCTGTCTCTGGACTGGCTGCCCCAGGCTTTGGCCTCCCCAGGTTCCCACCTGGGCCTCTCCTGAGAGTGCCCAGTTCTGGGCTGCAGCTTCCCCCACTCTCCCAGCCCTTGATGGGAACAGGGGTCAGCACCCCTCATCTGCACCCAGGCTGGGGGCTCTGGGGCTGTGGCCTGCCTCCACCCCACTGGGACCTCAGCCTCGGAATGCCCCTTTGAGGCCAAGCCCTGTTCACCCATGTGATGGGCTCCACCCTCACTTTCTCTGCTTTCCTTTAAGCCTTGGGCCCTGCCTCAAACCCCTACCTCCCCAACTGTCTATCCCCTTCTCCCGGAGACCAGCTCCTCAGGACTCCCACGACTCAGGCTCCCTTGAGGAGCCCTGTGTGGCTCTGCCCGGCCTCCCCACACTGGCCAACCTGTCTGCATGGATGGGCTTCCTGTCTCCGGACGACCTTCAAACAGGTCTGGGTTGGCCATGCTCCACAGCCAGCTCCCCCAAGAATGAACACATCCTTCAAGACTCAGGCCAGTCACCCCCAGGAAGCCTCCCCCAAGACAGAATGAGGGTCTGTCAGTTCGTTCTGTGTTCCCACAAAGCTCCCTGCAGTGAGCCTCCCCCTGCACGCACCGCAGCAGCCTCCTCTAGCCATTCCCCTTTCATGTTCGTGGGCGGACCTGTGCAGGTAGAGACTGTTTCTGGCTCTTTTCCTATCTTCCTACTTCCCCCAGATCAAGGTCTGGCTCTTCTCCCCTCTGCCAGTGGAAATCCTTGAGGGGTAAATGAATTTCTCTCAGCTTAGTTTGCTTATGTGTAAAATGAGGCGGCTTTCCCCAAGCGAGCTGAGGGTCAGAGGTTAAGTATGGGAACACTTTTCAGCACTCAATAAATGGCAGCTCTTATTTTTTAGTGAGTATTAGTAAATATTTGTTGAACTAAATTAGAGACAGAACACATCCTTCAAGACTCTGGAGCATAAAACAAGAAAAAATTCATTCTATAAAAACAAGTATGAACCACTACGAGAACATGGAGTAAAAGTCTTCCCCAAACCCCCACCCCCACGCTGCCTCCCCAGGAGAGGAGCCTGCCCCCTCCATTCCCCATCCCTGCACATAGAGTTTTAATATGCATTTGCCTAAACCCTCTGCCTCTTTCCCCAGCAATATCAAACTGAAAAGGTTCACACGTAATATTTTCTCACAATTCCTTTTGAAACAGAAAAGAGAGGCAAATAGGTGGCCACTGATCATGGGTCATTTAGTGGGAGAGACACAGCATAATCACTGGAGAAGCTAGACTGTGCCTGTGAACACATCTGCTGTTGAAACAACTTGCACTAAAATGACAGAAGCCACCATCCAAGCGCCTGTCACACGTCAAGACCTTGTGCCAGATATTTTTTAGCCATGCTTTGATTTAATTAGCAAATGCCACATAAGATGGGTTTTCCTCTCCCCTTCTTTCAAATGAGGACACTAAGATCTGGGGATATAAAGCGATCTTCCTGTGCTCATACAGCCTGCCTCTGGTTCACATCCAGGAGGTCCATGACAAGCCACTACAGAAATGTGCACACTGTGTGCACACCGCCACCCCCCAGACTGACCAGTAGTGCAGCCGCCCCAGGCCACCAGGATACAGGCTCCTCTGCAGGTCCTCAGGGCGACTTCTTGGGCGCTGAGTTCCAGGTGCAGTCCTCCTTTCGGATGAGCCCAGCTACTCTTCTTCTGAGTGAACGCGGAATAATCTCAGGGGGTATCTTGCCTCATCTAAAGCCTAAAAGCTCTCAATTGCATCTCTGTTCCTCGCCGCACTGCAGAAGGCGGGAGGGAGGGTGGAACACTGGTGGCCAAGGATGTGGGTGTTTTCATATGTGGGGCCCAGTGAGTCTTGTTAGCCAAGTTACATCCAGCAGGGGGATTTCAGGATCAAATGTGCCTATGACCAGGTCCACGGCCGCTGGGAAGGGTGGAGAGCACAAGAGGGTGAGGCTGGTTTCCACTGTCAGAGGTTAATTTAATAATAATAATAATCATAATAAACCACGTGTCAGACACAGCACTCAGTGCTTTATCAGGGAGGTCTCACTGAATCCTCTTACCTACCCAGTAAGGAGGGTGCAATCCCTGTGCCCATTCTACAGATGGAGAAATTGAGGCTTACAGTGAAGAAGAAATCAACCTAAGCTCACGAGGGCAATATGCAGCCATGTCAGGATTTAAGGCAGGGTCTGTCTTCTTCTGCAGCCCCTTCTCCATTAACCCTCACTAGACTGCCTCCCCCTGAATGCAAAAGGCACAAATGACCACCCAGGACCTAAAAACCAAGAAAGGGCTTTGATGAGGAAACACACAGGCTGGGGCTCAGCAGAGAGAGCCAGAGCCCTTGCCCCAGGCTGCTGACCCTGACTGGTCCCTGACCTTGGCCACACTCTGAACCTCTATCTTCAGCACAGCTTTAATCACATTTACAGAATCTACAAGGAACTGTTGTTCTCTTGGGTTGTTTACAAATGGCCCTGTGTGGGAGGTCACTTTGGGAAGTGACAGCGGGTCATGACCATCTACCCACTGGGCTACCCTTCTCTGACTGTCCCTTGGTCAAGTGTAAGAGCCGTAGCTGGAGGATAAATGCTGCCAGATCCCACCTGTCCAGTCTCCCCAACTGCTCTGCCCCTCCTTCCGTCTGGACTGGCCTGTAAGTCCCTCCCTGGATAAGACAACAAAGACACTACCAACCCTGACAGACCACCATTTAAATGTTAACTGTAACCCATGAAGGACTTCAGTTCACCAAAACATGGGATTGATTTCTGCCAATCATCAGAGAGATGGGAGCTTCCTGTGACGTGGTCTGTTCTGCAGACATGAACCTTACTACTTCCAAGCAGCCCCTGGAGTTTTGGGGATGTTTTTCAGAAAATTAACCTTCATGTTGGAATCAAAATCTCCTTCCTTGGTCCCACAAAGGTATTGGCTGCCTCTTCCACAGAACAATTTGTCACGTTTAAAAAGCACTTGTGTGTGTGAAAGGTTAAACAAACTTGGATGAACTGTTTAGCTGATAATCAGCACATCAATTTTACCTCCCACCACTAGGTGGCGATAGCAGTTGGTCAACAAAGGGCTGGGAAATGTCCTATGAAGCCAACCTGTTTCTAAGTGGAGGAGCTTCTTTCTGCCCTTGAGAACGTCAATTGTACGTTCTCTGATTATGTTTTTTTCCTCTTGGATAAATATTCTTGGTTCCTTGAAACAATCTTTGGAGTGATAGTGTCCTTCATGGGTTCCTCATTTCTTTGTGTATCAATGACTTCCTTAAATATAGCACCCGAACTACGCATGACTCCAGAGGGAGCCTGCAATGTCCAGAATGACATTTGTCTTGATACTTAATAGACCCAAGCCTGAATTCCACTGAATTCTGCTGAATACTAGCTGGGTGACCTTGCTCAGCTTGTGTCACCTCTTGGTCTTCTGATCTGTAAAACAGGAGTAACAAACTCCATAGGGTTGCTATGAGAATTAGATGAGATAAAACATGTAATACATTAAGCACAGTGGCTGTGCACAAAATGTTATTATGTCACACTGGAATCAAGCAAACAAACAGTTCATTAGCTTTACAGGCAGTCACACCACACTGCTTATACACACCCTGTTGATATACCCCCAAACCTTTTTCAGATTATTCTCATGCCTGTTTATGGCTAATCGAAGTCCTAAAATCTGTAAGTGGAAGGGTTTTCTAACCTGCAAACTGCTAAGGAAATACAAGGCAGTAATAGCCGCCTTATGTTTGTGACAATTTTACTCTTGTGCGAATGTCTTTTTAAATTTGAGTGCAGGACTTCATATCCCTGTTAGTCTTGACCTTGTTGATTGGGGCTCTCAGGACAGAGACTCCAACTCCTCCTGGGTGGCTCCTGAGAACCCCTGATAGTGTTTTAACAGAGCATATTACCTAGAAGCTCTTGAACCAGCAAGGGCTTTGGGGTCAGCTAGACCTGGGCCTCACCGCTGACCAGCTCTACAAGCTGAGACATTTCTGTAGGCCTCATTGTTTATATTATAAAACAGGGATAATACCCGCTACCTTGGGTTATGAGAATCAATGAGATATAGTTACCCAGTACACTGCCTAACAGATGGCAGGTGAGCGGAGAATGTCAGCTCCTAGCCTCTCTTCTCCTTCCCTTCTGTCCTCAGTCTGTTTCCCCTGCTCTACTTGGACCTTGAGTTCCCAGTTCTCCACATGTCATGTGTTTGCTGCATTTGGTCAAACTCAGGTATGAAAAGGAAGGTCAGGGAGCCAGACCATGAAGATGGGGTCCCAAGGAGGGGATCTGAAGAGGATTCACTAGAATTTCTGGGAGGTTTGACCTTCTCGTCTCTACTGACGGCAGAGACAGAGAAAACAGTGAAACCTCCCCTAGGCAGGCAAAAATCCTAATGGGACTGGTAGGCCATAGGGGCTGCAGGGTGGGCAGGGGAAGAGCAAACCACAGATTCATAACGTAGGGTGAGAATCAGGAGACCAGTGTTCCCTCTGCCACTCACTTGCCATGTGACTTGGGAAAGTGCTCTCTCCTCTCTGGACCTTGGTTTCCCCATCTATAAAATGGCCTAGTTTGGAGATGATCACTAAGGGCCTTCCCAGTCTGTGGTTTTATTGCAGAGAACAGCCATTCATAGCTTAACTCAACAACCAGTGTCTTCCAGAAGCTCACCCTTCCTTGTAGATAGTGACTAAAGGGATGTTAAGAGAGGAAAGTCAGCACGTGCAATTCAGGCTGGAGGGCAGCTGAGCCTGGAACAAATGGAGAAACTCCGCAAAGCAGTTCTGACCTGGCCACAGCATTGCATGTGGGACCCTCACGATCAAACCTTCAAACACTCTGTTGGGTGCATAGTAACCCAATTCTGCCTGAACACTAAACGGCCACCTCCTGCACTCTCCATTCCTGTTGGGTTCCACACCATGGCCCCCCACCCCATCTGCCAGTGGGGTCTGAATGGCCTTCATGCTCCCCTGAACTTGGGGACAATACACAATCACATACCAAACATATGTTCCTTGTTGTTGGTGCCCAGAAATTAAGATGTACATTTCTTATTTTATTTATCTATCCATTCTTTCATCTTCCCATCCACTTATGCACACATCTACCCATCTACTACACACATTCATCCTCCCACCTGTTCTTTGGTCCATTTCCCCTGTCATTCATTCAACCAGTGCCCAACATGTACACAGCACTGAGAGAACTCAAAGAACGGCCATGGGGACGACGTTCCTACAGCTCAAACAAGGACGATGAGAAATGAAATGGTTTCTCTTTAAGAATTTTCCCTTTAATCAATATTTACTGGAGATCATCCCTCCCTCCTGCCTAGCCCAGCAATGATAACAGAGAGGTACCTGATTAATACGGCAAAGTTCTGTGGAAAAAGCACTGGTCTGTGGATCTGGAAGTCTGGGTCTTAGGCCCACCACATCAATTCCTATTTCCCACCCTGACAAATTCTGGGTTGAACCTTCTTTGTTTCTGACTTTTGTGGCCCACATTGTAAAGGTGCCTCACGGAGCTTCCTACCCAAGTCTTGCAATACTGATAAGTTCCTCGTACTAAGAGTTATAAATAGAAATCCCAGAGGAAAGTTGTCACAAGGCAGATTTTTGCCTTGTACCAAAAGGGCAGCACAGACCGTGCCAGGAGTCAGTAGGAGGAAGACACCTGTGGGCGTCAGGGCTGAGACTGACCGGGAGCTGGAATGTGATCCGTGGCTTCCATTGGTCCCTTGCTCTTTGGGCCCAAGCCAAGGGCCCAGCTCCTGAGCCCTCAAACTACACCTGGGCCCCTGCGTAAAATCTCCAGTTGTCCTGCTGACCCCCAGCGGGAAGAAGAAGGACAAGGTTAGAGTTTATGCCCCCAGGTGGACATGTCAGAGGGAAATCATTCCACCTTGACATTCTAGTCAGGAAGGGAAGGGAACTATGATTTAAAGAGACACTAACAAAGCGGTGGGCACTATGCTTCCACAAACATTTCCCCATTTAAACAGTCCAGCAAGGTGGGTCTTTCCATCTCCATGTCGCTGACAGGGAACAGAGGCTCAGAGAGGCTAAGTGACTTGCCTAAAGTCTTGCAGCAAGTGAGTGGAGGACCTGAGTCTCCAACTCAGATCTCCTACCTCACACTGTCGGTGGCTACCAGGCCTTCCAGGATGTAAACAATGCTCCTGGGGACACTTTGAGAAGGGTCAGAGGCCCTGCTGTGCCAGGACTCTGCTGACTATTTTTCTATCTGTTGCTATTTTGAGCCCAGGAGGTATAACAAACCTTCAGAGTATGGTGGGGGTCCTCAGCCATGGCGCTGGTTACATTTGGGCCAGATAATTCCGCATGGTGGGGGCCATTCTGTGTATGGCAGGAAGTTTAGCAGCATCCCTGACCTCTACCCACTCATTGCCTGTAGCATCTCCCAGTTGTGACAACTGAAAATGTTTCTAGAAGTTTCCAAATGTCTTGTGGGGGGCAAATCATCCCTGGTTGATGACTCCTGGAGTAGAGCTACTGGCCTGTCTCTTGAGAATTTCCTATCCTTCCTATTCAAGAAAGTCTAGGCAAGAAGAAAAACATACTGTCCATACTTAATCTGCAGACAGACAACCAGCAATAACAACAACGAGGACCACAAACACAACAGCCCCCATCTGTCGAGGGCTTACTACGCCTGGTTACCATGCTAAGTATC